TATGAAACTGATTTAATTTTTTGACCATTTTTATTGCTTTGATTTTTTGAGATTTTGCTATTATGCCCCTATTTGTTTTCGGTAAATTTTCGGTTATTCTCTTCACAATCAAATTTGTTCTGGAATATTTTTTGTAGTGAATTTATTGGAATCGGAGCGAAAGCTTACAAAAATGAAAAATGCCTTGCAGGTATTCTCATTGGCGATGGATGGCACGACGGGGGCGATTCAGGACAATATTCGACGTCATTACAAAGCAAATGCACATTCAATGATGTACAATATGAATCTTTTCTCGTCCATTTATCTTCTTTTCGGTCTGTTGACCACTGGTGAATTAGCGGCGTTCAGTTATTTCGTCAACGATTATCCATCAGTCATCACAAACCTTTTGGTGCTTGCATTCACAAGTGCTTTCGGACAAGTATGTGAATTTTTTTTGGAATCATAATTTATATAAACTTTATAATGTGAATTTCTTTTGTTAAATGCAAATTAACTAATGTTAAACTAATCGCGTGAAGCTTTTAGTGTTGCTTTGAGATTGTTTTGAAGAGCAGCTTCATGCACTTCTTTCATTATTGCTAAACACTAACGATATGTTCGATTGATAATCCGCAAGGATGCAGCGTCTGATCTGAGTCTGCTCAGAGTTATCAAAGCCATCCTTCGTTAAGCACACTACCAGCCTATGATAAAATTTCATCCGTTAGCAATTTTCAGTATTTCATCTTCAAGACAGTCACCGAATTCGGACCGCTAACGTGTTCGATTGTAACCACAACAAGAAAGTTGTTCACGATGCTTGGCTCAGTTCTTCTGTTCGGAAATGTTCTCTCACAACGCCAAATTGTTGGTACAGTTATTGTGTTCACTGGTTTGTTATTGGACGCTATCGAAAGCAAGAAGAAACATCCACCTGTTAAGAGTAGTTAACCATTCGCGAGTAAAATTACTGAAACATTGATTTGCAGTGAAATGAATTCGAGGTTCTTTGGTCAATTTGAGCTCTTTACATAATATTAATGTGTTATTGATTGAAAAGATCGATTTTTTTAACGAACCGTTTGATTGTATTAGAATTTTGACGATTGAACGCGAGTTTGAACTTGTTTTCACAATTGATTGAAATCCTCTTATTGCGTTTACTTGGAATTTGTGTTGAACTGAGAAAATTTTCCCTTCTGTCTTATTGTTAATATTATCGGTATCGTGAATTCCTTCTTGAAGATAGGAATTGCTTGAAAGTTAACTCGCTTGGGTAATGTTCATTGTTCGTGAATATTCAGTATTTAAATGCTGATGAATATTTTCAGTTATTCATTAATTATGTTCATGATCATTGTTTTGATTTTGATCATCTTTCTGGGATCTTCATTGTGATACTCTTTAATTTGATTGTTTTTTTGTTGGTAATCGCGCGATTTTCTGTGGATTTTCGGTATTAAGCATTCCCAACAAGTGTATCAAATTATTTTTGGTATTGTGCAATTGATAACTTATTTATACGAGTTGAACGAATATACTGTAAAATTATTTAACGATTCACTTTTTTCGTTCGCTTGCATACTAACGATATTTACGTGGTTGTTGATTGTTTTTGTTGAAGGATTAAATAAAATTTGGGATGTGCAATGACTTGATTGGTTTTCTGCTTTGTGACTGCATACTTGTCATTGTTGTCATCGGTTGTCTTGAACAATCAGTTACATATTCGGGTGAAATAAGCAGGCTGGAATGAATCTCGAGTCAATNTCATGCGACTGTGAAGATTACAAATTTTGAGCGTTGACGAAATTTTTTTCAAGATATAACAGTTATTGATGTGGTGATTGTCTTCATTGGATAAGAAACAGCAAGCATCGAATTGTACGGGCCTAACGAGTCTTCAGTGTTGATGATCTGCTGAACAAACAAAGTCATTTTCGAGCAGTATTATGAATATTGACTATCGTGTAAGTTGTAAATTTTGTAATCTACGACCACAGAATATCATTTGAAGTGGTTCGAAGACATTTACATTGTCTACTTCTCATTGTTTCCATTAATATTCAAATCATTAACGGTATGAAACTGAGTGAGGAATGCTTTTAATGGGCGTTTAGTTTGAAAATGATCATTTGATCTTTTTGTCTGATCGTTTCGTGATGATCAGTTTTCTCTCCTTTCAGTTTGCAA